TCCGATAGGCTGCTTGTTTTCAGAATACGGCACACATTGAACTAGCAGTCCATAAAACGTTTGTACAGCATTTTTCAGCTGGAATATTTTTTTTGTTTTTGCAGCCAGATGTATAATAATAGTTTTTATTTCTAGGTTCACCTCCAAAAAGGCTAAATATAAATTACAAGTGAAGCAACCAGGAGCTGCCAATTTAAGCAATTGAGTGGAAGACCTACACCGAAAATCAGCATTTTGAATCTGATTTGTATGGTAATCTTTCTTAGTGAATAATGTAATAATGTATTTAAGTTACAAACTGTAATTTTTATAAACAGTATTATAACATTTTGGTGAGACAGCTCTTCAAAATCGGAATTTATTTTTATCTTCTGTTCAGTTAATCATGATACCATATTTGCTCCATTAGAATTGCACCTGTAAAACAAGTAATACAAAAATTGTATTTATTGTAAACTGGGTCAATAAGGTGACTTATTTTAACCATAGTTACACCTCTTCAATTTAAGTATAAGCGATTCTAATTGAGCAAATAGGATATATGTTAAATATTCCTACTATGAATTCAAATTCGAGGTTAATAATGTGTAGCATAGTGGGTTGTGGTTAATTAAACATGGACATGACTAGCACAGTGTTTTTGTTAGCAGAGGAAGGAAATCAAAATAGATTTCAATTACTGTGTGCAAAAACTGTGTTCATTTTGTACACCATTCATATGTGTTTTCGTGGTAAGTAGAACATGAAATAACATTTGTGAAACCAAGTGTGAAGCAATTGAGCTATGACATGGTATAAGACAACAACATCTATTGGTTTAAATATAAAATTGATTGAGTTGTTACATGAATGCTGATTGGTGAATCTAGCTTCTTGGTGTGCCCAATCAAATCATTCATTTCATCTTCAACTGTTTGTACAGGTTTGTATGCATGTTTTTGGAGATGTGAATAGTTATTTATTTCAGTAAGGACAATTTCAACAATTAAACATTCTGAGGCAAATCTACTGGCTACATGTGTATGTCATTCAAATATAAATATGACATTAATGGAATTTTATTTAAAGTCTGGTTCACAATTGTTCGGTATTGGACGACGTGGTTGTCGTCCTGATAACACATCAAATGAAAGTTCATAAATCATTGTCACATCAAGTTTCAAACTTGGAATATTTATGAAAGTTCAAATCTTCATTGAGACTTAGAGAATTTTTATTTGAATGATGTTTTTAATTAATATTGCCTAATCTTAAAACATCACTGAATGCACGTACTGCCAATTTACAACAAGCTGAATAAATCAAAATAGTCATTCAATGAAACTAAAATTGCTCATTAAAACAAACTATGTTTGTTATGAAAATGTATATTTTGGTTAGTTTCTTGTAGATTCAGATTGTTGGAATAAACGTTTACTACTTGTAGGTGATAATTATCAGGTATATTTTTGTATTTTACATAACAAACTTGACACTTTACATCTATTATAGGGAAAATTTTCATACATTTATCTTTTAAAATTGTAGGAGTGACATTAAGGAGTAAAGCAATAATTTGCCGCAAAATTTGTACATATAAATTGGATTTGATATTAGCAATCTTTATTGAAATGAAATGCTGTAGTTACTGCACTGCTACCTATTAGCTTGTGAGCCACAGCTTAAAAACTAATCCACAATTCTTTGGCTAGAATGAACTGAACGGATCCAATATTTGTAAGACTATGTCTTACAATTAAATTTTGCTAAACATTAACCACACACAAATTTGTGATTATAATAGGCATACCATTGTAATTTAAGTTGTGGCTCATGCTCTGTTCTCACATTTGTGCTCTTAGCTCTAGGAATATATACAGACCGTGTGTTTCATTTTTGTCATTGGTAAATACGTTAAGATGGTCATTTGATCTGTTTGTGTGCATGTACTTTTGTACATATAGGCAATGAAGATGATACTGTGCATGTCTAATTAGTCTTTAAAAGTTTTCTTAATTGTTCATTAGCTGCCTTTGTTTTTTTTCTAAATTCTGTGTGTAAAAGATTTCTTGATTGAGCCTTGAGTGAAATCCTTGTTCAAGATTTTAAAAGCTATAGATTGGTACTGCTAAACTAGTTATGAAACATTATGCAAAAGATTTTGGTATAATTACAGGTATAGGTATTGCTAATGAATTCATGTAATTTAGAGTGTACTTTTCATCATATAGTCGGTACTTGCTAATACATGGTTGATTTACATAATAATTTCTGTTGCTTCTTGGATTCATCTTTGTGGCTTATGTGTGACTATAGCTAATTTACATAATCAGATTGTAGCTTGTGCGCCACTTTGCTAATTCTCATAAAAAATAACTAAGGAGTGGTACATGAACCAAAACTCTGGCGTCAGCAACAACATGCAGCGAGGGAAGGAATATGAATTGAAAATGCAACTGAGTAATGCCAGCTGTTTCAGACAGTCACTTATATATTTATCATTACATGTTTCTATAGGATTTCAGTTAATCAACTTACATGATTTTTAGTTATGATACATTTGACTTTTTATTTATGATTCATGTTGACCGGGAGTATGCGATTTAAGTATGAATTATGAACATATAAATATGCACACTAGATATTATTATATCTCTGGCCTGATAGATTTTGTACAATGATGCAAGTACCCATAATAGAGTGCCTGTGATAAATCCATCCAAGTATCAGTATTATATCATGTGGACTACCTGCAACGTTGTAATCAGGGTCTGGACTGGGTCTTAATTTTTCGATTTTAATTATATCGAATGTAACTGTGTTGATACCTATTTTTTCATCAGATTTAATTTGATTCACACCATGTTGTTGGTCAATTTGGAGGGCAAACAATGTTCAGGAATGTGTTATGGTTACCACAATTGTAATGTGTTGATTTTTTTATGTATAATTATAATTTACGTTTTAAAACCAGTCTCAAATTTTGTGATTATGGATCATTGTACTCTGCATGTTCATAAGAATAATTGTAACAGAAACTCATTTCACTGAGTTGAATGATTTATAAAATAAAGTCGGTTTCACTTCAACTTGTTGTTGTTGTTGGAAATATATGCAACTAATAATTAAAATATATAGTTTATGGTGTCACACCAATTACTACCAGTATTTGTTTAAATTAGATAGTTAAGTTATACAAAGTAGGGTTTACTACTGCCAGCCAGTTGACCCCAGAATTAATAAGTTATCACCCAACAGGTGTGTGGCACCTCCAGAATTTTGAGTAATACTTGTAAAATCTTCAGGTTCTCAGGCTTAAAATTTGGGAGTTACCATTCCCATAAGTGTGCCATTAATTAGTCAGCCAAATACAAATTTGAGCAGTGGAAAATCCCAACCTGTATACTATGCGCAACATCACACCTTAGAGTGAATACACATCAGTAGGGATTCACAAAACTTTACTTGAATCAATAACTTTGGATGCATAGTGGCAGATGTCCTATCTGTTTGCCACGCACTGTTCATCAATCTCTTTCCTCACCGCTGAACATCCAAGACATGAATTTGTGACAGACCCCTTCCATATCATATCATATTGTATATCAGCTTGGACAAGTGCATCACCAGAGCTGTTTCACATACATGCTATCATTCTTAGATAAGCACTAGGTTTTTCAGAGGTACGGCTGGTAAACACTGCCCCAGTTCTGAGAGCACTTCCTGGTTATGCCACAGCCACTGGTGGCTCTACTCTTCTTGGTGTTTACAATGCTATACACATACTTTGAAAATCCCCCTATGCCCAAGCTGACAAATAGGAATAAGAAGGATCCATCTACAGTGGGAAAAATCAATATGTGTTTAACACTGTTCAAGGGGCTGTCTCACACAAGTGCCGTGATACTCTGAAACTGGCTACACCATTAGTCTTTTCAGTCGGCATCTTATGCTGTGTAATATCTTGCATCCCATGCCCATTGTTAAGAAATGCACTATCTCTGGTCGCCTTGGCTTCAGTTCTTTCATTCACTGATAATTTAGCGGTCTTTCAGGGTGACCCAGGGTACCCTTATGGACTAACCAAATCCTTATGGCTAAGAACCAAGACCTGACAAACCATCCTCCTAGATATGTTGCCCACGGCTGAACTCTGGTACTTGTACAATAGGGGGCAGTGAACCCTGTATCCATTGTGTTTGTGACCTGCTGGAAACTAGGTCAGAATGAGGGATGGCTTACTAAAATTAAAAAAATTGATTTTATATTTGTGCTGACAAGGGTAATATTTGACCCAATGTGATAGCTAATTATCAACTGTAGTTAGGGCAGGCTCTCTTTGCACCAGCCTCAAATCCCGACTCCAATAAAGGATGATTGACTGAGGGGTGTGTTACTTGTCTACCGACCTAAAAAAGCCAATACCAAAGTATCTGCATTGAATATTTTAAGGGACACACCCCGTAGAAAAGTGGAATGAACCAGCCTCTTTTAATATACATACATTCCTAGTCTATAAATGGTTACTTACACATTGGAATGCATCAGTTTACTTTGGACTGGTATACATAAGGGAGGTATCATGCTAGAACACTCATAGTGCTTAGCCTTTGAGTGGCAGTAGTGTTACACCACATTAATGATAGACATCTTTACAACTAGAAGGAAGCGCCTAGGCTTCTCTCATGACAAGGTTTCTGAATTACACGCTATGCATGATGAGCTAAATGCAAATGCATATTGGACTTCCTAGATCCGTTTTAGTATGGAGGTTAAATATCACAACAGCTGATCTTATTTAAGCTAATATTTATATCACAGACTGTCCGTTTCCACCTGGGCAAACATGATCAATAAGCTGTAATTACTCTGATAAGATAATCACTGGGAAGAAGATTGTAAATCTAAGTGATTAGGAAGGGACCAACATTGTTCTTACTAACTGACCAATTTGAGAACTAATTTCGAAGCTGCAATTACAGGAAACACGACGAATCAATAGATATGCTAATAACAGCATAGATATCCAAATAATAATCCTTATCATTCAGGCAGGGCTACAAGATCCAGTTTGCCAGCAAAACATGGTTGATAACAATATGTCTGCCAGCAGCATTTAATTTGCTGGAACAAAGCGTGACACTACATGAAGTAAGATACTTACTGGTTAAAAGGAATATCTTCTGCAGGATTTATACTTGTATACTCTGACTTAATTAGTACTTCTAACCATTTCAGAAGAAAACATTCAGATTTTACGTGATGCAAGAAAGTTATATTAGTTTTTGTTAACATTAATTTTGAATCTAATAGCTTTTTCATTCTATGTAGTCAGCTGAGTTAGGAATAAAAAATATACAACAGTGAGTAATATGTCCTCTAGCTTCTATTAATAGTTGTGTTGCAAAAATCTGTACATCATTTAAATGTTTAGATACAGCGAGGTGCTTGTGGCAAACCATGCGTGTCTGAATGAACATATGATGATTAGTTTCGCCATTATGCTTTTTCACTATTCGATTATTAAAAACAATGTTTTTGAAACTTTCATTCATGCGTATGTCCCTATCTTCGGAGCTTCTTGTTTCGCAATACTGACAATATGAGTACAGTATCCATCGACGTTCGTCACTGGCATCAGGATACAAATATGTGCAACATTGAAGAGGTGATGTGATCAGCTAAATTTTAGTACATATATTTAGTTTGCATTGTCATTTTTATTTCCCATTTGAATCACAAAAACAAACGTGTGTATGATTATGAATTATTCCCAGTTTAAATGTTCCTTTTCATTCAATAATGTTATATTCAAATCGTTGTCTCAACAGTTGTCTCTCCGTTGTATTTTATATGTCACCAATATATTCCTCTTCTTCGTATAAACGAACACATCAATATATGCTTATTCAATTGCACGTATATCACTAGCTTGTTGGACAGGAAATTGGTTCTTGTCAACACTGTTATATAATACACAACGAATATAATACCATGCCAACTTTAATCATTTGTAACACAATTTTTTCTCTGGGCAGAGCAGATCAACTAATTAAATATATTAAACTACTAAAAAGTATTCCCACTTAATTAAATTATACATATTTCATATACTTCCGTGACTAAGTGTATATAATCGCTTTGTCATGTAGAACTAATATATGCCAATTTTTATCTTGTCACTTGTAAAAATCTAAGAATGAAATGAAGAATCAGATTAATTAAAGTAAAGCACTCCATCAATTCAAAATTGTTAAGTTATTCAAGCATTGAATATTTAGACAGCGGACCTGACTGCATTCCCGTTATGCATGTACTGCATCTCAGAGTTTTATCAGAAGCAAACTGTTGAACTTCATGATTACTTTTGTATTCGACTGCAAAAAGAAAATAAAGGAATCAGTTGAACAGCGCAACACATAGTTAAGCATCACGTTGTATCATTCAAATCAATCAGACAATACAAATCAAAACAGACAATTTCAATTATATAACGTACACAGTATATATCATTTAAATTGAACCAGTTCTCCAGATTGTACACATTAATTGAGTCGCCTTAATACTTTATAAAGACTTAATTGTACATGTTCCCACATCTACTTACTCATATGGGTATTCCACGTCTTCAATTGTTTCAGGTGCTGTCTTGTCTAATGTATCTGGGAGGAGAACCAATAATATACCAGAAACTATTGATGGAATACCAATGAGTAGAAACGGTGCCAAGTACCAAACAGTATCCGAAATCATGATATATTGTGCAACAATAGCTCCGATGAAGGAAGAGCAGCGTGCAAAGGCAATTACTTGGGCTCTGAAAAAATGTATTGTAACATGTAAGAGCTATGAATATGAAATATGTTTATATGCTTGATTACGTATTTGAATGATTGATTTATCCATATTATTAATCTCATATACAATAACATTTCAGATGCAATGTTGCAAATGAACACAGTTTGCGAATGATGGCATACCAATGTCATTCACAAATTTTGTATATATTACTTATTCAAAAGACATATTCGTTCACTACAACACATACAATTACATATAAGAAATACACACATAATTACGGATCACATAACCAACATTAATTTACACAACAATGCATGTAAAATATGAGTCTTGTAAACTGTAGTTTTTACAAAATCTATAATTGAAGAATAAATCATAGTGTAAATTTATTGTGTGTACTTTTTTTTCTATGTACATGTATTAACTATTAATTAGGTTACTATACTAATTAATGCTCAGTTTTGTGATATTGGCATTTGATGAAGAGATTGACTAGAGCATGTCTTACCTGACTGATGTAGGAACAAGTTCTGATATATATACAGGAAATCCAGAAATACACATTTTGGCAATAAATTTAGCTACAACTGTTGATGTGAAGAGAACAGCAGCTACGCCTAGGAAGACAATGTAATGACATAAAGTCAAATACAGTGCCAATTGCAACAAACTAAATTACAATGCTAACACAAGGCAACACAATCATCATGTTTAGAGTGGCACGTGTTTCTTGGTGTCTTAGTGTCAATTTAGATTTTTTTAAACATATTTGTTCTATTTTTGATGTATTTTCTGTGTGCATGACTAGATTATCGCCACACATACACGACAAGTTAATGCATCAGTGTTACATGGATTGAACACTTAAAATCATTGTTGGAACTAATCAGTGATATTCAGTTAATATGGAAGCATTTTAGCGGCGCTCATTACTGAAATCGAAATTTCAGGCACATATATATAAATTCAAGCTCGGCAAATGTAACTCGCCACTCCAAGCAGACACTGTCTCAACAACGACTGTTTTAAATAGCTTGTCGAATCTCCGACATCACAATGAACGTGAACATAATAATTACTACACGTTTGAATCTAGTATAATATTGGTCTGAAAATTTTAACCTACTCAATTACGATTGCTTTCGGAATAATTCTTTCCAGCAGCAGGGACACATACCTGAATTAATCGAAATTACAGGCACACATACAAACATAAAACACCGGGTAGTAAAAGTGAAAGTAATAGGCGATATTAATTTAGTCACGGCTTTTTATATCAACCCGGCAGTCATAAGTTGTATTAGCTCGCACTAGAACGTGCGCTACTGTTTTTATGGCTTAAGAAACGGTAAGTAAAATTTAACGGAGTTAAATCTGACAAGTTGAAGACCCAGAGTGCACAAACGGTTATCTCATACTAATGCTTTCAAAACACCCAGGGACATTTTTCATGAGAAAAAGCTAGAATGACAATGAAACTGCGTACTGCTTCTTTTATTCAGCAATCTGATTTTCTTGAAATTGCATTGACACCTTTCTGGTTATCACAGTTAAAACAACTGAAGATTTGTATGTTCCTAGTTTGGGTGTTCCATATATCATGCTAACTACCGTCCCACCCAAGGGGGACCGATATGCAATTACATTTGATGTAGCCTGATTGATAATAGCTTTATAGTACTAATATAATTTAAATTAGTTGTTAATAGCATATATATATATTTACATAATTATCAAAACAAACATGATTACAGTTACTAATGATAGTGACCCCTCGATAGGCAGGTTATCCCATCATAAACACATCTTTTCTCAATCATAATTTCTGTTTTGCAAGCATATAATATACAAAAGCCTAGGTTAGTTATATCTTCTATGCATACTGATTAATGTGTTGTTGTTTTTTTGAAAGATGTCATATTGAAATGGTATGTATTGATTTTTATAGTTCTCAATATTACGGATCGTTAATGTATGTTCATGTTATCTAGTTTATTAATAATCATATTTACATTCGGTTTGTGAAGAGTGCTTGTTAAAAGCATCATTGCATTCATTTTAAATAGTTTTCAGTGCTTTGTTACATTGTATCAGCTCATGTTCTTGTGTATGGAATTTACTCAAAAAATTATTTGCAGCATGGCAACATAACGCAACAAGGTCCTCAAATTTATATTTTTTTAAAGAGTCTATATTAATTGTGTAAGAATATTAAACATAATTCATATAATTATTCATACCAGATAAAACTCCTCCAATAAGAAAAGTGATACCAGAAACAATCATTGCTACACTAATCGTTGCACGTCTTCCATATCGAGCAAGTAACCAGCCAGAAAAGAAACCAGCAGGTATCTCGACAAAACCTGTAAACACAAATATCATGTATGGGTCTCTGGCGAATAAGTCGATGTTCAGAGATATCCCATAATACATCAATCCAAACGCGAACCTGAAAATCAGATCAATACAAATGTATAAATAAAATTAACAACATAAATCAAATAGGAGTACGAAAGTTGAATAAAGTAAATTGTAAAGCAAGACTAATTGTCAAATAGAAAAGTAAACGTTTTAGGCCAAGTACAATAGAACAGTACAATCACAATCGATTCACGCCCATTAAAAAAATACAGAATACTAATGGACAAAGTAATGACAACTTTACTAACCAATTAATAATGATAATTACACTTCTTTTTCGTAGAATGGGAGTTTTGAAAAGAGCAAATACTGAGGCGTGTCCGACAGGTTCAGTGTTCTGTAGACACAAACCACACTGCACATAATACATCATTACATAACAAATTATAAAAAAGAGGGTAGTTAAAATACAAAAATGCAATTGCAGGAACACTTTTCTAGGTCGTGGTTCATTTGTACGGCAAGAACAAATTGAATTAGAAGATCTGAATAATAATAATAATATACGTGATTATAACATAGAGAAAAGGAATGTTAATACCTTTCTGCTGATGCAAGCCTAATATTAATTAATCTGGATGAATTTGTGTATGTAGGAATTGGTAAATACTCTGCATGCTGCAATGCATTTACAATATGTGAGAAGTTCAATTCAAAACATAACAATGATCACATCTTATAACCTACCTCAAAATCCGAGCACATTTCATGTAAATTAATCATGTGTTCTTCCATGGTAGATTTGTTTAATGTGTCCGCTCTTATTAACATATGTTCAAGTTTTTCTGCCTCACCATGTTGCACAAGCCATCGGACAGATTCTTCTAAAAAGCTAACCACCGTGCAAAGACATAGATATAACATACAAACAAACCGAACAAAATAGCTACGACAGATGAATATTATATATAAATGGTTATCAAGTACTTGGTAATTATTCAATAGAACCAACCTTTTGTGTAATTGTCCTTCTTATATAATATAACATGTATGTAACAATTACAATAACTTCTTCAACAACTTCTACAACTTCTAAGGTTAATTTAAAAGTGTATTCATGCAACCATAAGGCTGAGAAAAAAAAATGTGTCTGTTTCTCGTTTCCGCGCGCATCAGTTGGAACCATGCGCCTCGGACATTTTTTTTCTTCCGTCTAAAGCATTCTAAAATGCGCTTGTACTAGCAGTTTTCTCAACTTCCCCCATTTTAGCTCAGTATTAAAAAAATCGCCTCCGCGCCTCATTTTAAAATTTCCATGAAACAGAGATTTTTTCCTGGCCTAATGTAAGAATGAATGAAACCAAATTTACCAATTACTGTTCGACTTCAGGTAGATATATTTAGTATTTTTTCCTCCGTAAATTGAACATATTGTCCACAAATGTACAAGATTGACTGTCTGTTTTAGTGAATATAACCTTTCTATACTGTCACTCTCATTTATTACGTTTGTGTAAGACCACCAGTTTCAACAATGTAAAAAAGATCACAACTATTTACAATGAGGCATAAGTCTCGTGACTCATAAAAACACGTTTTGGTTATAACTATCATGGAACACCAACAGAAGATCGTTGATTTGTATGACAAATAAACAATTCGCATTACTCACCAAATGTAAGGAAGATAAAAAAGACAGATTGCGCCAGTGATGAATTGTAGTGTTCTCCAGTCACCCTGAACAAAATATGCTGTCATTCCAAGCAATATGTATCCTATTGCATAACTAAAAGTACATGCAGTGCCAATCAATGGTCTACGTGATGATGGTGATGCTTCCATTCCTATACAATAGTGAATATAAGCAGAATATTCAACCACATCTGAATTTAGTTCAACCAAATTCATTGGATACATTATTTGGTTTGTTTGACCATATTATAGCAGTTCTCTTGGATAGACGAGTAAAATACAAAGCTCATGTAAAACAAATAGGAAATTAAACATACTGATATAACATACCAAGTACAATTGATGTCTGATAAATAGAAGATGATGAAAACGCTAATAAAAACTGTCCTACGATGAAAAAGGTGAAAGTCGGAGTAAATGATACAGCAATGGCGAATATCATAGTCAGAGTTGTAGCTATGTGAAATGTTTTTTTTCGTCCACATCTAATAATACAAGACAAAAAATACAGTACATATTGTTAAAACAATCAATTGTCTAAACTTTCTCCTCAGCGTTACATTATGATAATCTACCTATTATTGGTAGCGATATCTGGCCTCACTGTGTCTATTGTAGCTTGTGTTCTATAACACAATGATGGGTGCAACAATGTGTAGGCTACTTACATTTCTGCAAGCTGTCCGAACACAATGGCGCCGATTAGTAGACCAAGAGATGATAATGATTTTGATAACTGTTTTAAAGCATCTTTATCGCATACCAAATCAAACTGTACAGTAATAGAGTAATATAGAACTGTATGATGATACTATATAAATATAGATCGGTATACAGTGAAAGGAAGTAAAGGAAGAAGGAAGGAAGGAAGGAATCTATTGTTCAGGAATGTTTTTAAGAGTCATGCTCCTCTCTGAAAGATTATTATTCAATAACTAACCTCAGTGACAACAGTGTTGTGTAAGTATCTTTTGTCATACACCCATCCCTGGTCGCAGTGGATCGATGAATTTGTTGTTTGGCATGTAAATGACTCGTTTCCTTTTTCATCGCTCACATTAGTGTCATATCTCAGACACGAATCCCATTTCAATTGGCCACGTGTATAGCGATATGGTATGGAGCAGTTTTTCAATCGTGAGTTATCGGTATAGGTTTGGTTTGCACTTACTCGGCAGTAATGATCAACCGAAGCACTATAAAAAACATTTCCAAATACGAACCATGGTAATGGAAGAATGGCGAGAAAAATCAAAAGAAATTGAATCTTCTGAAATCGGCCAAAATCCTTAATTATATTCAGGGACTCAGCGTCCTTCATCTCTGTGAAATACGATACAAATATATTAGTTATTCAAATAATGACATTTAAGCCCAATTTGCTATACATAGAGCAACAACAAGCTACATACACAATCTACTATTGAACTATGGACACTAGGGCGTGTTTCATTTGTTGGTTTACATTTTGTTACTGCAAAAATATGTGTTGTTGAAGCGGCCACCACGAACATACCGCGATATATCAGTCGATTTGAAGTTAGATACGTTCACTCTGCTGTTTCAGGTGTTAGTTAGCTATAACTATGATTATTTGTATATATGCATTTTAAATTATATATTCAGTCAGTTATGTGTAGTATTTGAGAAAAAGAAAGCGAATACAAGTCGAGTGTATTTTATACGATTCTTTACAGTTCTGTGTATACCATTATAAAAGTGAGGCAAGACATTCAGCTTGATTATTGAACGGTTTTATCAATAACACATGGAAATATTGATACACTTTATCAACGTAATTCCCACGCAACTTTGAACTTTGAATGAACTGTAAATTCTGCCTTCAATATAGAAAATACTACCGAAAAACGGTTCAAAATAATAAATTTAACAGCAGAATACATCCTAGTAATAAAATAAAAATAAAGTGACTTCTAAAAACTGAATGTTTTTTTGCGAACTTCGTATACGGCGCCCAGATTTTGTTATAAACCGACATTTGCTTCACGTTCATATCCTACCATGGCAGCAGCCGAAAACATGTTGCTTGTTTGTTCTTTCGAGCGGAACTGATCGCCAACCAGCCTACAGGCTTGTATGGTTATAAATAACTCAGTGATATGTGTTCAGCTTTGCGTGCACTCAATACAACACAATATATTACCGGAATTATTGTACAATGTTAACTTACCTGTATAATTCGAGAGGATATTACACAATTAAACAGCATTCCACATACTTCACGTCTAAAGAATAAATAAAAAGCTAGTTAGGTATACATATGAAACTGTATACACCTTTCTTTGTACTCCAGCAAATGTAACCCCCATAGCGGGTTATTTTTTCTACGAACATAAATTAGCATATCATTAAGCTAGTAAATATATTCACGGCTATTTACAGATGAAAATGCAGACTGAATGATTACGCGGGCAAGCGTCCTTTAATAATAATAAAAAAAGCATGGCTGCCACAAGGGTTTGACCAGACTCCACACAAAGAAGTTCGTTGATTCATTTGTCGAAATTTTGGATTTTGGCACTCCAATGATATTTCCTTGGACGAAAAAGATTTATAATAATAAGGTTATTACGATGATACTTAAAAGTATACACTCAGACACTACACCATCGCATCGACCTCTGCTGTGCACCGGTTGATACTTCCGGTTGATACTTCGTGCATACTTTGAGGTATCCTCGTAATAACCTCATAGTATACTTAATATTTCAATCCAATCAGATTTTGAAACAGTGAAACATGTATATTGAAGAAAATCATGATGTGTATATTTTGTATATTTTTATTATGTTTTGTGTCATTGGAGATGATATAATATAAGCAATCAATTTGCTAATAAGGAGACGTGATATGAATTATATATCTTGGCCTAGTCATATTGAATTTGCCTGATACTTGTAATAAATGTATGACATGATGCATATTATTCACAGTCGCACCAATATATTCGAATGACACATAATTTGTATGTTTGAACTGCAATCAAATTTGATATGTAAATTTCAGACTGCCAAACAACAATTACTCGAATGTTACAGGAACAATAATTAATATCCCCCAACAATTTTTTGCTGAATAATGTTAACACGTATGACAGCTGTGACAAAAATTGTTCAACCACTGACACGATTAGACGTTTTCCTAGTTAACAATTTAATATACGAAGTTCTCATTTGGTTAGTAGCAAACGTTCTGTAAACTTGCAACTTCTTTGGGGTTTGACGCATGTTAAAACAGATATTACGTGATGTAACGTCTCATAGGGGTACACATGTAATTGATACTTGCTGACTGTCTTCATGCTGACTGTATTATCTATTTGCTATTTTGAATAGTTGATTATGACAATGATGACCAAATATTGCCTACAATACTGTAAAATACTTTTTTATATTTGACACTCAACTCGTCAGAAATCAGTGAAAATAAATTCCATTCATAACACCCAAAACATTTGTTCAGCAAAAACTAATTCCAGCTATGATTTACATATAGTTTACAGTATATCGTATATCGATCCAAGCAGTAACAAATTCATTCAATATCAAATACTATCATAATGCATGTAACTAGTTCTAGTTGCATTTCAATTATTCACAATACAATTTTTTTTCATTTACTTTCTTTTTTCCAGGTTTCTCATTGTATGCCGTGTAACACTAAGTTTTCTGTAATAACTCGTCGTCACCATTGTCGTCTCTGTGGTAGAATATTCTGTCATAATTGCTCCAATAATTGGATCATGACAATACACAGCAGGTATTGTACAGTTCGTATCTGTCTCACAGAGTACATTGATTCTGTGATGAATTGTCAATATATGGAACACCGCTTTTGTTTCCGGACAACATTTATTAAAAAGTCGTTATGACTCTATGTTTTAAGCTTTCTATATATAGTCAAATTTTCACAGCTATGTTTTTATTTCTCTGACTTAAATAAACAACAACTACACTTCCTATGAATATTTCTTGGTTTTGTAATAGTAATAGTCGATCGTCGTTTTTAACTGTATCAAGTGGTGTCATGTCGCCTTTTTCTGAAGATAGAAATGAGATCCCACCTCGTACTAATCACAGTAATGTAGGAAAAGAAAATAGTACAGAGTCGGTGAAACCCTTTTCTCTGTTAGAAGAAGCTAAGAAAGTTGATCCGTCAGTATATGTTGTCATGACAACATGGGATGTTGGGGTTGCTTTGGAGACAATGGATGACACTGACTCCAGCAGAGATGAGTTGTTTGATTTGGTCAGTGATGAAGAGACTTCTAAAACTAAAGAAGATGAGAAATCAAATACGCTGGGCAGTAGTATGGTAATCAGTGATGATATGTAAATACGGTAATTTTTTAAAATGTGATTGATATGGGACCCATAGTGACCAATATACAATGCCTACACAATTTGAGCATACACTGCGCGACGAATGTAGCACTATATTGAGTCGAGCTTCTCAATTACAAGAAAGTGTATTAGTATTCGGTAGTCAGAATATAACACATTTTTAACCAATATTTGTTTTTTCATTTTTGAACCCATGTGATACAATGAGTGTCTACTAATAATACTGCTCCTATCCCTTAACAAATCATCAAATACAAATTTGTATTTCATAGAAAATATGTCCTTATACAATGTCATACATGTACACTAAACTAATAGCTATAACCAAAGGCAATCAAACTATAGATGGACAATCAACTCTTTGAATTCAAATCGTTTGATGATCAGATACAAGATGACTGAGTGTCAGTCATTTTAACGTTAAAAACAATCACTATGTTCACTTACCCATCATAAACCGGTGGTCAGTCAAAATGACTATTTTAAACTGTAGGCATTAATCTACGATTCAGACAATGACGGAGAGAGAAATCTAGATCAGGGGAAGCCCATGACCTCAAGATTTCCCTTCACGTCATGAACCACGTGGCCTAGGCAAGGAGGCGACGCCTTATTGCCTTACTGATCACTCCGTTTTTTCTTTGCCCTCTGTGGTCGCTCGATGAAAGCTAGACATTGGCAGCACCAACTGGGCTCTATGGGATCGCCAGGAATTAGAAATGTATGCACATGGCACTAAACCATGATTGCCATGGTTCAAATACAATATTTATTATTGGATATGTAAGTGTGATGGCATGTCATAACACATTTAGTGGCTTTTAATGGCAGTAGAGTGTTACACCACATTAACGAAAGGCGTCTTAACAACTAAAAGGACATCTCTTAAGACACTATATAACTTGATTGATATCGCTTCTGAATTACACTGAAAAAAGATTGTAAATATCAGTGATTAGAAGGCGCCAACATTGTCCTTTCTAACTGACCAATTTGAGAACTAATTTCGAAGCTGCCATTACAGGAATACACGACAAATCAACATATATCCTTAATAACAGCACATATATCCAAATAATACTCTTTATCAGTCAGGCAGGGCTACAAGATCCGGTGTGTCATCAAAACATGGTTGATAACAGAACTGTCCTCAATATGCCTTTCAGCAGCATTTAATTTGCTGGAACAATGCATGACACATGACACTACATTAGATACTTACTGGTTAAAAAGGAATATCTTCTGCTGGATTTTTACTTACATATTCTGACTGGAGTAGTAATTCAAACAATTTCAGAAAAAAACACACATTCAGATTTTACGTGAAAGTAATACTAGTTTTCGTTAAGAAGATTCATTTTGAACCTAATAGCTTTTTTCTTTCTATGTAGTCAGCTGGGTCAAGAATAACAATTATACAGTGAGTTATATCTCTTCTAGCTTCTATTATTAATTGTATTGGATTTAAGGGGATTTAGAATTGTCTTAATTTGGGTGCTGAGATCTTTACAGATTTCCTGTTACCAGAGAGTACTTTTGTAGTCTTCCCAAGAGTTATAATTGATATCTGTCGATTTGATTTAAGGTAAGAATTCGACGAATGTAAAGGTGGCATTTTTTAAACGGGGTTATAATCGCGTAAAAAGCAATAAAAGCGGATGGGGACAAAGCTGGAACGCACAAACAGGAGTTTGAATGGTTCGTTTAAGCAACAAATTAATTATGGTTAATTATCCTGGTCAATTTCATTTGTCAGTTTACGTATTGTCGATCCGAGTGCTTGCAATGCAATCGACTGTTTTGTTTTTGTCAAGTGCACCATACCAAAATATACCAAATATTTTCTATGTTTTGTCAACATGGTATACTGTAATTCACTGCCCATGATTACATTATTACATTGTATAGGGTAAGGATTAAGATGTTCGTTAAGGGGGTAACATGGGTTATTGCTGTTGAGCAGTGATTCAGCCATTCTCTGACAACAACTGGCAATGATACTATAACAACCTGCACATCATTTGCATGTTTAGATATAGCGAGGTGGTTATGGCAAACCATGCTTTGTCTGAAGAATTATATAATGATTAGTATCACCATTATGCTTTTTGACTATTTTTTTGAAACTTTCATTCATGCACATGCCCTGTAACTCTATTGCTTTCTTCATCGTCGGAGCTTCATATTTCGCAATACTGAAATATCCATCGGCACTCGTCACTGGCATGAGGATATAAATATGTGCAACATTGAAGATATGACGTGTTCAGCTAATGATTTATTTAAATACTTATATTTAGTTTGCATTGTCATTTTTATAACAAAAACACTATGATTTATTCCCAGGTTTTATTAATGTTTTTATTTATTCAATTATAATGCTATATTCAAATCGTTGTTTGAATAGTAGGTTTATATATTATATTTTACATGTCAATGTTAGCAATATACTTCTCTTCTCCGTATACACGAACACATTATTCTATGTTTGCAAAATTGCGCATATGTATATATATATATGTATATAAATATAAAATATATGTGAAACAATAATTCCCTGAGCGGAGCAGATTAACTACTTAATAATTAAATAATTATATTGCTTACAATAGATTTACTCCACGTCACTAAACTACTCAAAAATGTTCCCACTTTAATTTATACATATTTCACATATTTCTATGACTAAGTGAACATAGTCGTTTTTGTCATATAGAACTAATATATACCAATTCTGATTCTAATAACTTGTGTAGATCTAAGAATGAAATGTAGAAGCACATTAACTAAAGAAAAGCACTTAATCAATTTACAATTGTTACGTTATTCAAGCAGTAAATATTTAGAACGACAGCGGACCTGACTGAATCCTTGTACTGCATCTCAGAGCTTTATCAGAAGTAAACTGTTCATGATTACTTTTGTATTTGACTGCAAAAAGCAAATAAAGAAATCAGTTGAACAGCACAACACATAGTTAAGCATCACGTGTATCATACAAATTATTCACACAATTTAAATCAAAACATACAATTTCAATTATATAACGCACATCATTTAAATCGAACCGGTTCTCCAGATTGTAAACAATAATTGAGTCGCCTTAATACTTTATAAAGACTTCATTGTACATGTTCCCACAGCTACTTACTCATATGGGTATTCCACGTCTTCAATTGTTTCAGGTGCTGTCTTGTCTAATGTATCTGGGAGGAGAAGCAATAATATACCAGATACTATTGATGGAATACCAATGAGTAGAAACGGTGCCAAGTACCAAACAGTATCTAAAATCATGATGTATGGTGCAACAATAGCTCCGATGAAGGAAGAGCAGCGTGCAATGGCATTTGCTTGGGCTCTGGAAAAAATGTATTGTAACATGTAAGAGCTATGAATATGATATATGTTTATATGCTTGATTACTTATTTCACTGATTGATTTATCCTTATTGATCACAGTCGATCACGTTTCAGATGCAATGTTGCACATAACCAGAGTTTGAAAACGATGGCATACGAATGTCATTCACACATTATGTATATATTACTTATTCAAAGGACAAGTTCGTTCACTACAAGACATACAATTACATATAACAAATATACATATAATTAAGGATCACAGAACCACCATTAATTTACGCAACAATGCCTGTAAAATATGTGTCTTGTAAAATATAGTTTTAAAAATCTATAATTGAAGAATAAATAAATAGTGCCAATTTATTGTAGTGTAGATTTCATATGTTTACTTTTTTCCATGTACATTTATTAATTATTAATGAATTCACTAGGCCACTGCACTAATTAATGTTTAGTTTTGTAATATTGGCATTTGATAAAGAGATTGACTAGAACATGTCTTACCTGATTGATGTAGGGACAAGTTCTGATGTATATACAGTTAATCCAGTAATACACATTTTGGCAATAAATTTAGCCACAATTGCTGATGTGAACAGAACTGAAGCTACGCCTAGGAAAACAATGTGGTGACATAACGTCAAATACAATGCCAAATGCAACAAAATAAATTACAATACAAACATAGGGCAGCATAATGCATCATTTTGTGGCACGTGTTTCCTGGTGTTAGTGTCAATTTAGTATTGTGGTTTGAAATTGTTGCTTGTTCTGTTGTCAGTACTACAGTCCAGCATTTTGTAATTTGTATTTTTTTGACATCGTTAATGTATTTTCTGTGTGCATGACTAGATTGTCGCCACATATACAAGGCAAGCTCGAGTATCAGTGTTATATGGATTGAACACATTTTAGTGAAGATATTCTAGTACAAGCTTATGTAAAATTATTGCTGAAACTAATCGGTGACAGTCAGTTAATATGAAAGTATTTTAGCGGCGCTCACTATTAT